ACAGCCCTGGGGAATAATACAAAAAGTCTTGCTTACCGTATAGTCACTTTTTTTTTTTTTTTTTTTTTTTTTTTTTTTTTGAGACAGAGTTTTGCTCTCATTGCCTAGGCTGGAGTGCAGTGGCACAATCTTGGCTTACCACAACCTCTGCCTCCCAGGTTCAAACAATTCTCCTGCCTCAGCCTCCCGAGTAGCTGAAATTACAGGCATGAACAACCATGCCCAGCTTTTTTTAAAATTTTTTTTATTTTTGTATTTTTAGTAGAGACAGGGTTTCTCCATGTTGGTCAGGCTGGTCTCTAACTCCTGACCTCTTGATCCACCCTCCTCAGCCTCCCAAAGTGCTGGGATTACAGGCATAAGCCACCACACCCAGCCTAGTCACCTAGCTATAAAGTGTAGATCAAACTATTAATGTTCTGGCATCCTATCCTGATAAGTAAATATATACCTTCATAGTGATGTTGGAGGCCAGGTTTGGATTTAGAACTCCTTGAAGTCCCAAGCTACAATGTGCCCCAGTCCTGGCCCTCAGTCCATTGGCTGCCTTCTCTTCCCTCTCCCCATCTCGCACTGCAAAGGGCCTCACATACATGTGTAGGCACCCCAGTCTACATATCCAAGCTTTGTCACCCAATTGTCTGACAAACAGCTGTCCTTTGGCCACTATGGGCTGAATGTTTGTTTCTCAAAAATTCCTATGATGAAACTTAATTCCCAATGTGATAGTATAGTTGTCCTTTTATATCTGTTAGGGATTAGTTTCAGGATGCCTGAGGATACCAAAATCCACAGGTGCTCAAGTCTCTCATATAAAATCGTGTACTCCAGTCTGGGCAACATAGTGAGACAACCATCTCTAAAAATAAAAATAAAAAAATTAGCCAGGTGTGGTGGCACATGCCTGTATTTCTAGCCATTCGGGAGATTGATGTGGGAGGATCACTTGAGCCAGGGAAATTGAGTGAGCTGTGATCACGGCACTGCACTCCAACCTGGGCCAACAAGTGAGACCCTGTCTCAAGAACACAAAACAAGGCCAGTCGCGGTCAGGAGTTTGAGACCAGACTGGCCAACATGGTGAAACCCCATCTCTACTAAAAAGAAAAAAAAAATTAGCTGGGCATGGTGGCAGGTACCTGTTATCCCAGCTACTCGGGAGGCTTGAGGCAGGAGAATCACTTAAACCTGGGAGGTAGAGGTTGCAGTGAGCCAAGACTGCACCACCGCACTCCAGCCTGGTGAGAGTGAGACGTCTCAAAAAACAAAACAAAACCCACCAAAAACAGCGTAGTATTTACACGTAACCTCCTATGCACATCCTCTTGCATAAACTTATCTCTATATTACTTATAATATCTAATACAATGTAAACACTATGTAAATAGTTATACTATATTGACCTTGTTTGTATTGTTTTTTATTGTTGTATTGGGGGTTGTGTTGTTTTTGTTTTTGTTCAGTCGTTTGTTTGTTTGGAGACAATGTTTCACTCTGTTCCCCAGGCTGGAGTGTGGTAGTGTGATCTCGGCTCACTGCAACCTCCATCTCCCCGGTTAAAGCAATTCTTGTGCCTCAGCCTCCCGAATAGCTGGGATTACAGGAATGTACCAACACACCTAGTTAATTTTTGTATTTTTAGTAGAGACGGGGTTTCACTATGTTGCCCAAGCTGGTCTCAAACTCCGGAGCTCAGGCAATCTGGCTGCCTTGGCCTCCAAAAGTTCTGGAATTACAGGCATGAGCCACCATGCCCAGCCTGTTGCTATTTTTGAATACTCTGTTTTCCATCTGAGGATGCAGACCCCAGGGATATGGAGGGCTGACTGTATTAAGGTGGAGCCTTTTGGAAGGCGATTAGTCGAGTAGGATTAGTGGGATTAGCTTCCTTATAAAAGAGGCCAAGGGAGCTTGCTTGCCCTTCCACCATGTGAGTTTACAGTGAAAAGACACCTGTCTATGAGGAAGAGGGCTTTCATCAGACATCGACCTTGATCTTGGACTTCCAGTCTTCAAAACTGTGAACAAGAAATTTCTGTTGTCTGTAAGCCACCGAGTCTAAGGTACTTTGTTGTAGCAACCAGAGCAGACTAAGATAACCACGTCTTAGACCTACAAGTGTGCACACCAACAGCAGAACTCTTGGAGCCCAGAAAGCAGGGATCCAGGAAGTGGGCTTGGCAGATAATTCTGGGGTCCTAGATATAAGAAAGGTGATCTAAAGTCGGGCATGGTGGCTCATGCCTGTAATCCCAGCACTTTGGGAGGCCGAGGTGGGCGGATCACTTGAGGTTAGGAGTTCGAGACCAGCCTGGCCAACATTGTGAAACCCCATCTTAAAAAAAAAAAAAAAAAAGGTGATCTAAAAGGAGAAAGGACACACCCCATTGGTCCTGTAGACTGTGTGCCCTGTAGGGAAGGTCGTGGTGGCAGAAAGGCTCAAGCAGGGACTTCTGAAGTGGGAATCCAGAGCACTGACCCCTGCTTTCTTGCAATGGGGTTTTCCAGGCTGCAAGCTGACAGCAAAGGCGGTCACTTCCCTGGCCTCTGACACTGGTTCCCTTCTATCTCTACCCTGAGGAGTGAACAGGAAACAAGTAGACCAGACAAACGAAAAAATACTGTTTATTCCACACAACTACATCAAATGCTTCTTCCCCATTCTCCTCTCCCCTTGCCACCCCTCCAGCCCTCAGAAGGCTTTGCCTGTGCTGGGAACAGTGAGAACTTCAGTGTCAGAGCCTGGTCCATGAGGCAGGAAGGAAATCTGGGCATGGGAAGGGAACTGGATTTCCAAGAACACAAAAACGTCAGGGTCTCGCATTCCAAACTCATGTGTTCCTTAGTCCATTTGGCTGAATTATTTCCCTGGACTTCACCTGGATAAAATGCCATGGTTAGAGCAGGGGCAAAGGCCCCAGCTGATTCACCAGGAAAGTTTTGGTCTTTCTTCCATTTAAAACAAAACAAACAAAACCCCACACAGTTAAACCACTTCTGTCCATTCTCCTCTTTCCATAGTAAGGGAGACACTAAGTTCTGGCTTAAGTTCAGAAGATGCTTCCAAAACAAAATGTTTACCAACTCCCTTCAGAACCTGATGCTAACAAAAAAAAATAAAATAAACCCACTTCCTAGGTGAGAGGTTTGGGCCCGAGCTGCCTCCTGGGGAGTCTTACACTGGGGGAGCAAGGGCAGAAGTCATAGGCCAGCGAGCTCTGCTTTGGGTACACATCAGGAAAACCCTGCACCCCCATGCTTGGGGAATTCAGCCGCAAACCTCCCAGCCCTGCTATTGTTCTTCTGAATGACCAACCCATCATTCCTGCAGAGGAGAAATGGTTTCATTCTAGCTCAGCCTTGGGAAGATAGATTTAAATGAGGGAGGGGCTGAGAAAGAGTGGCCAGCCTTAATTTAGACCAGTGGTTCATGATTGTTTTCCCGTCATAACACAGGACAGATGGCGTCCTCCTGCATGTCCACCACCACAGACACACCCCGGATGATGTGCTATTCCCAGGGTACCAGCTGTGAACCATTTGTCGCTCTCAAAAAAGAAAGCATACCTGAATGCAAGCATCTGAGCATGAAAACCTGCATCTCTCTGAGTTGTTTTTTTTTTTTTTTTCTTTCCCCAAGACAGTCTTGCTTTGTCACCCAGGCTGGAGTGCAGTAGTGCAGTAGTGCAGTCTCAGCTCATTGTAACCTCCACCTCCCAGGTTCAAGCAATTCTCTTGCCTCAACCTCCCAAGTACCTGGGATTACAGGCATGTACCACCACACCTGGCTAATTTTTGTATTTTTAGTAGAGACAGGATTTCACCATGTTGGTCAGGCTGGTCTTGAACTCCTGACCTCAAATGATCTGCCCAGCTCAGTCTCCCAAAGTGTTGGAATTACAGGCATAAGCCACCACGCCTGGCTTAATTTTTTGAAGTGTAAGTCACCAAATCCTTTATAAGCTCTGGAACTTAACTATTCTCGCTGAAAACTAGTTTACAACACCCCTCCCAAATGACTTTGTTATCTCATTGAGGAAGGTCGATAACCCTGAACTAGAGTGTGGAGCCTCTCTGTTGAGACATGCTCTCCTGGGAAGCTGGGTCAGGCAAACTGCCCACTTGCTTCCTCACCTCTGCTACAATCTGGCAGGCATAGTTTGTCCAAATGCAGCAGGCACGCAAGCACGTGTGTGTGTGTGTGTGTGTGTGTGTGCACACACGGGCAACACTTGCATGTGCTAATTCAGCACACTAAGAGTGTGGCCACGCTGCCATTGCAGGGGCTGGGAGGGACCAACAGTAAGTAAGAAAGGAAGCAGCACACCAGAGGAAGCTAGGCTAGGAGGTGACTGAGCACCAGTGACTGACAGAGGTGGTGATGCGCCCCCGCCTGTCAGTGGCTTCCTCAGGGTCTATTATGGGAGGGGCAGTGGAAGCAGCTGTTAGAAACCAGCCTCTGTGCTGGGCGTGGTGGCTCACACCTGTAATCCTACCACTTTGGGAGGCTGAGGTGGGTGGATCACCTGAGGTCAAGAGTTCAAGACCAGCCTGGCCATCATGGTAAAACCCCATCTTTAAAAAAACCAAACCAAAACAAAACAAAAAACAGCCTCTGTAAGGATAAGAGTACTGAAGAGAGGGGTGGTTGACCCGCATGACTTGGGGCCCTTTACGGATGGTCTACAAAGCCAGCCTGTGCTCATCTAAGCGAATCTTAGTTCTCTCCTGACTTCCTGGAGTTACATACTGAATTTTAGGGGCTGTCCAGCCACAATGAGGCTGGAAACTCACTTAGCAGCTTGGATGAGAGCCAGCCCCCAAGGTACCACAGCTATCTTGTCTAGAGGCATAACCCAACCTGATCTAGGGGTGTTCTTGGCTCAGAGGACACTGAGGGAATTGCTGAGATTTGACATAGTCATGGTCTGAGACTTGACAAAATGAGATTTCTCCTCCAGTATCCAAGGCTTAAAGTTACAAAGAAAATTAGAGTCAAGTCGACTTCCACAAGAGACCTTCCCAGACTCCATCATTTATTCATGGATGCTGTTCTTTCCCCCAGGGCCTTGCTGTCTGGTTTATTGTCTAATTTGCTGCTTTTGAGAAGGCCTCAGCATTGGGTTGGGAATGGGTGTGAGGACAAGAGAAAGTCAGAGAAAGTCAGCAGCCCTTTCCTTATTTATCTCCAGAGTTGCCTGTTTGCTTGGGCAGTGGGATTTTCCAGGCTGCAAGGTTTCTTCACCCAAGATCTTTTTTGTGGGAGGGACGGCCATCAACAGAGATTAGATTAAAATCTGAAAGAATGGTCTTATTTTCTAAATGTCCAACCTGCTGCAGACCCAGGACAACTCCAGGACAGGTACAGTTCACTGCTGCTTCTTCCAACGTGGATTGCAAAAGAACACGTTCTGTTTTAGTGCAAATTTCTCTGCAAAGGGACCAGGGAGAGGTGGGAGAGAAGAGCCCATGTTCTGGCCCCAGGGGGTTGGGAACCTTCTGACCTTGAGGTCAAGGCAGACCTTGAGTCTGACCTTCTGAGCAGCACGTCACACTTTTCTGAATTTTATCTCCTGGGTCCTTTCTGTGCGCCTGCAGGCAAAATGTGTGGGGAAGGGCAGTGTGAGGCTGTGGTTCCACTGGATGAGTTGTTATACCTGCCACACTAACACAGAAGAGCAAAGGAGAAAAGAAGGTGGAAAGAGAATGCCATCAAAAGCCGACCTAATGGCCAGTGGTCCTTAGGAGCTGCTATAGCCCTGCCCCAAAGACAGTGAGTTTCTGGTTCCCCACCAGAATTCACCCATCAGAAACCATGCTAGCAAAGTGCTTCTCTAAGTGACATCACAAATCCTCTTCTTTGGAGCAACCAGTCCAGAACGTGGAGCTCTCATGTGGCCCCGTCTGGCCTCCCCATGATGTGAGATACGTGGGAGAGAAGAGGGACATTGACGCACATGCACACAGTGGAGTCTCATGACCTGGGGCGAGCACAGCTGCACGTGGCAAAATGACAGGTGCTGTCATGGCAGTGGCGGCAGCCGGATGCCAAGGAAAACAGACAAAGTGCTAGAACACAGGGCCGGGGGCTGAGCTCTAAGGGATCTGAAAGACGTTCAGCTTGCTGGTGTTCTTCAGCGTCTGGCGCCGATTGCAGAACCAGACACGCACGACCTCACGGTCATAGTTGAGCTCCTTAGCAATTTCAGTGATCTCCTGGCCTGTGGGCAGCGGGTTCTTCTCAAAATAGGCATTGAGAGCCTCTATGGCCTGGGGAGTGAAGGAGGTGCGGCGTTTGCGTTTCTTGGAGGGCTCGCCTCCTACAAACTCCATCAGGTTCTGCTGGCCTTCCTGGTTCCGCAGTTCTGCTTCATTAAGCCACTTTTCCAGCACTGGCTTTAGCTTCTGGGCACTCTTGGGTGTGATGTCCAGCTTCTCAAACCTGTGGGCAACCCACACCCAGGAAGAGGCAGGCAGTGAGAGCATCTGGGTCTCTCTGGCACACCCCACACCTAAGTGTAGGCTCCAGCCTCAAGGGGCCGCTCCGCTTGGGGCTGGTGAGACCATACCCAGTGCTCCCCTCACCACCTCCGCCAGGATCCCTCTAGCTTGGCCAAGCCCAGAAACCTCAGACCCTCTGATGCCCCCGGTCCTAACAGGGAGACCATTTCCATGACCTTGGCTCAGTCAGTAGTGCAATAATAATAATCCAAATGCTTTATGAACAACCATTCTAGACTGTTCACCTAAATGAATGAAGTCCTTTGAATAGTCACCTTGGGAGGCCGCCAGTCGCACTCCCATAGCGGCATCACTACCAAGTCAGGCCACTCTTTCTGGCTGAGCCTGGATGTGGCAATAGGATTCTCCACAGAATTCTAATGCTCACTCTAGTCTGACCTATGGAGCTGGCAGGCAGATGAAACCTTTCGGCCTCTACCCCTCCTGGTGCCAAAACCAGTTTATAAGTGGCTTACAGAAACCTCAGCTGTGTTACTTTATAGTCAAGCCTTGTAAGAAGGGGGATGGGAGCATGATGAGGTGTGGTGGGTTACAGTTAAGGGCCAGGAGAGAATTGTTCCCACTTCTGCGACTAATTTTACAGGCTGTACTCCTTTCCTGCTAGAATTCCTCAGTGGATTAGGGTCTTGGGTTCCCAAAAGAAGACCATTTTAATGGCCAGGATTGGAGGATAAACTTCATAGAGCCTCAGAAGAATAGGGTCAGTCTTTAACTACCCCAGGTGTTCATATCTACCCTGAAGGCGGTCTTCCTTATCTGGAAGACTGGAGCAAGGGGTCATATGGAAAAGGGGCAGGTGCTCAGGTTCCCATGAGTGCCCAGTGGCACCAGGCAGGCTGAGCAGTTCCTAATCCTGTCTAGGGCCGTCTTACTCACCGGCAGATGGCTGACTGGCTGTAGGCTGGACCTTCTGTTGCAGTCAGAGCCTGACCCACCTGGGTCTGTGTAAGGCCCAGAGAAAGCCGCCGTATCTTAAAGTTCTTAGCAAACTCCCGGATCTCTTCTAAATTGATCCCATCCTCATCCAGACTTGGAGTATGTGGCTCTAGGCCAGAGGGAGGGAGCAGGGATGAGTGTGTAAGATGGGAACCATCCTTGCTTATCTAGCTCATTGGTCAGGACTGATGCAGTAGCGAGAGATGAGGACATCTGGCAAAAGGCTCATGCACCCTCAAGACCCTTATTACCTTTGTCCCCAAGACAAGCAAGACTTGAAGAAAAGGGGCCTAAACCCACCTCTCCAGGGGTAAGGAGCTATTTTGAAGTTCTTCCAGCTCTAACTGCTGACCCTCCCCCATTCTCCCTAGGCCTAGGCTCAAACACACCTGTTGGTCACCCACATTCCTCAAATACTGGGTGAGAGACCGCAGTGGAGACAGCTCATGGCTCAGCCTCTCCAAGAGGCAGCCAGCCATCCAGCTAAACAGACTCCACTGTCATTGTGCCCAAACTCCACCTCAATAGGAATGGAAATAAAAAAGCCCGTGCCTGCCAGGCATGGTGGCTCATGCCTGTAATCCCAGCACTTTGGGAGGCTGAGGCAGGTGGATCACCTGATGTCAGGAGTTAGAGACCAGCTTGACCAATGTGGTGAAACCCTATCTCTACTAAAAATAGAAAAAAATTAGCTGAGTGTGATGGTGCGTGCCTGTAATCCCAGCTACTCGGGAGGCTGAGGCAGGAGAATCGCTTGAACCCAGGAGGTGGAGGTTGCAGTGAGTGGAGTTTGAACCACTGCACTCCAGCTTGGGCAACGAGAGTGAAACTCCATCTCAAAAAAAAAAAAAAAAAAAAAAGCCAGCCCCTCACATTAGGCTTCTGCCCTTCCCATTTGGACCCCAGGATGTTTACCAAGGAGAGCAGCATCTGAAGGGGTTGGGGTGCCCAAATAAATGCCTCCCCTACTTGTCCATACTCCTCCTCCAGGAGCCACTTACTGGACACCAACTGGCTGACAGTGGGGGTCTCTGAGCAGGTAATTGGGATAGGAGCAGAGGCAGATGGCTTGGCTGCTGGAGCTGGGCTGGCGATGACCACAGCAGGCTGGGGCACTGTTGGTGTGGGCTGGATGGGCTGCACCTGTGAAAGGAGAGACAACAAGGCTTGCTGCCCTCCTGCCAGGCTCAGGGAGCTGGACCCTGGGTGACCACAGGCAGGGCAAAAACTAGGCATGAAATCCTCACGAATGCAGGACACTCCCACCCGGGCCCTATCATAAAGCAAGACTAGGCTGGGCATGGTGGCTGACGCCTATAATCCCAACATTTTGAGAAGCCAAGGTGGGAGGATCACTTGAGGTTGGAAGTTTGAGATCAGCCTGGGCAACATAGCAAAACCCTGGCTCCACTAAAAATACAAAAATCAGCTGGGCATGGTGGTGGGCGCCCTTACTAATCTCAGCTACTCAGGAGGCTGAGGCAGGAGAATCACTTGAACCTGGGAGGCAGAGGTTGCAATAAGCTGAGATCGTGCCACTGCACTCCAGCCTGGGTGACAGAGTGAGACTTCATCTCAAAACAAAACAAAACAAAACAAAACAAAAAAAACAGAAACACGCAAGACTAGAAGCTTCTTATTAACACCCACCCAATAATAATGACTCAGTTATACTAAATGAGCACAGCAAACCTGCCCTACCAACGCGGGGCTTCACATCCCACCTGTGACACAGGTAGGTGAAAGGCTCAGAAAAGGTTCAGTACACTTGGCAACAAGTGCCCACGCTTGGGATAACTGCTTCCAAATCTCTGCCCTCACAGAAGCAGCCTCAACCTACTTAGAGCCTCTCAGGCCCCAAATGCGCATGAATAGGGAAACTGATAGATGGCTTTTAGTATCTCTCCACCATGAGAGACTGTGTAGACGCCGAAAAGGAGAAGGTATACCTCTTAACTACTCTGATGTCTGAGTCACAACCCGAAGTGAAAAAAGTAAGGTGAAAATCAGTTTTGGCCAGGTATGGTGGCTCATGCCTCTAATCCCAGCACTTTGGGAGGCCAAGATGGTTGGATCAGGAGTTCGGGACCAGCGTGGCCAACATGGTGAAACCCCATCTCTTACTAAAAATACAAAAATTACCCAGGCATGGTGGCATGCACCTGTAATCCCAGCTACTTGGGAGGCTAAGGCGGGATAATTGCTTGAACCCAGAAGGCAGACGTCACAGTGAGCCAAGATTGCGCCACTGCACTCCAGCCTGGGCAACAGAGTAAGACTCTGTCTCAAAAAATAAAAAATAAAAAATTTTAAAAAAGAAAATCAGTTTTTATGGAATAATGCCTTTACAAAATACATACGAATTTCCAGAAAAACAAAATCTTGAGGCATATTAAGTGAGCCTTTCAAAAGAAATTGTCTCTGGAGATGGAATTAAAAGAGCTTTTTACTGTTTACATTACACAAAATATTAGAATTTTTGTAAAAATCACCTATCATGTTTGCAATCAGGAGAAACAATAAATATATGAAAGTATTTGGTACGATTTAAAAAACAAAAAGCTTTCTAGGAAGTACAGATTTCTCCAGGATGGTCCTGTTTCCTGGATTCTACCCTGGTACGTCTCAAGTCCATTGCTTCTTCATCCCCAGGGCCTTTGCCTTAGTTCAGAGCTCCTTGCCTCTCCCTGGAGCTGTTTAAACTGCCTCACCACAGTCCAGTTTGTGACACCATGTGAATAACAGGGATTTTTTGTTTTGAGATGGAGTCTCACTCTGTCACCCAGGTTGGAGTGCAGCGGTGTGAACTCGGCTCACCACAAACTCTGCTTCCTGGGTTCAAGTGATTCTCCTGCCTCAGCCTCCCGAAGAGCTGGGATTAGAGGCACCCACCACCACACGAAGCCAATTTTGTATATTTAGTAGAGATGCGGTTTCACCATATTGGTAAGGCCGGTCTCGAACTCCTGACCTCAGGTCATCCGCCTGCCTGAGCCTCCCAAAGTGCTAGGATTACAGGCGTGAGCCACAGCACCCAGACTATAAAAGGGATTTTTTTTTTTTTTTTTTGAGACGGAGTTTCGCTCTTGTTACCCAGGCTGGAGTGCAATGGAGCGATCTCGGCTCACCGCAACCTCAGCCTCCTGAGTAGCTGGGATTACAGGCATGCACCACCATGCCCAGCTAACTTTTTTTTTTTTTGTATTTTTAGTAGAGACGGGGTTTCACCTTGTTGACCAGGATGGTCTCGATCTCTTGACCTCGTGATCCACCCCCCTTGGCCTCCCAAAGTGCTGGGATTACAGGCTTGAGTCACCGCGCCCTGGCCTATAAAAGGGATTTTTTAAAAAAATGCATTATCTCAGCTGGGCATGGTGTTGCATGCCTGTAATCCCAGTATTTTGGGAGGCTGAGGTGGGCCGATCACTTGAGTCCAGGAATTCAAGACCAGCCTGGGCAATGTGGCAAAACCCTGTCTCTACAAAAAATACACAAAATAGCCAGGTGTGGTGGTGCGTGTAGTACCAGCTACTGGGGAGGCTGAGGTGGGAGGATTGATTGAGCCTAGGAGCAGAGGTTGCAGTAAGCCGAGGTCACAGCACTGCACTCCATCACTTTTGGCAGAGCAAGAGCCTGGTCTCAAAAAAAAAAGCACATCTAGGCCGGGCGCGGTGGCTCAAGCCTGTAATCCCAGCACTTTGGGAGGCCGAGGCGGGTGGATCACGAGGTCGAGAGATCGAGACCATCCTGGTCAACATGGTGAAACCCCGTCTCTACTAAAAATACAAAAAATTAGCTGGGCATGGTGGCTCGTGCCTGTAATCCCAGCTACTCAGGAGGCTGAGGCAGGAGAATTGCCTGAACCCAGAAGGCGGAGGTTGCGGTGAGCCGAGATCGCGCCATTGCACTCCAGCCTGGGTAACAAGAGCGAAACTCCGTCTCAAAAAAAAAAAAACAAAAACAAAACAAAAAAAAAGCACATCTGATCAGCCATTTCCTTGCTAAAGCAGTTCCCCACTGCCTGATGATGGTAATAACAAGAACTACTGTTTGTTTTTCAAGTGCTTTCTGTGCGCCAGTGTTCACTGCCTATGTATGATATATCCTTTAGTGTTCATAACCTTCTGAAGTTGGTACCCTTCCTATTCACAGAGGAAGCTAAGAGGTTCTGCACAAAGCTTGGATGTGCATACTACATTTGCAAACCACTGGCCTTATTATCACTTGAGAACTTAGAAATGCAAACTCTTGGATCCCACTTCAGATCTACTAAATAAGAAACTCTGTGGTGGGACCCTGGAATCTTCATTCCAGCAAGCCCTCCAGGGGTTCTGACGCACAGGCGTGAGAACTGCTGCTCTGGCATGCCGTACTTGTTGCAGTTCCTGAAGGTAGAACACTCTCACACCCAACTCCTCCCTTTGTATCTTTAGAGATGGGGTCTTGCTGTGTTGTCCAGGCTGGAGTGGAGTGGCTGTTCACGGCCATGATCATCGTATACAGCAGCCTTGAGCTCTTTGCCTCAAGTGATCCTCCGTCTCAGCCTCCTGAGTAGCTGGGACTACAGGTGAGCACCACCACACCTGGCTTCGTCTCTTTATGATGGTCCAACGTCCCTTACCTATGAAGCCTTGCTAACTCCCAGGTTTGTAGAGAGCTCTTTTCTCTGGGGCCCCAAACCACCTTATTTGTGTGTCCCTCTGAGTTTTTCTCACTGACTTGTAACTGTCTCTAATATCAAGCTATCTAAGGCTAGGAGGGCATCTTATTCATCAGCACTTGGGAAAAAGCAGGCACTCAAAAAATACTCCTAGAATGAGCAATGAGTAAATCAAAGCCACAGTGCAGAGTGGAGGGGTGGAGGGATGGAGGGGTAGAGAAGGGGGTACAAAACTGACTTTCCAGGGCTTTTCAGAAGGTTGTTCACCCTAAAGCTGATCCTGGCCCAGTCTACTTTGACAATCACCTACCTCCCTGACCTTCTTAGAACAGCACTGGCCTCTGAGGGCACATACACATATTTGATTGTGTGTGAGTAGGGGGTCTCGTGGTGCTGTTTCCCTGGAGATAACCTGTGTGGACACAGGTGGGCTTTCTACTCAGGGACCTCCCCAACTTTAGGAGGTACCTGGCTCTCCTAGGAGTTTCAGAAGACACTGTCTTCTGAAAAAAGACACTGCCTGACAGTCTGGAGGGACACAGCCGTGCCAAATAGCAGAACCTGCCCCACCCCCCACCACCCCCCAGCCCTTGTACCTCACTCTTAGCAGGGGACTCAGGTGTGCTTGGCTTCCGGACAGCCACAGGTGGAGGCAGGGGGCTGCTGGCCAGGGTTGCAATCACCTGGCCCTGGGCGTTCAACAACAGTTGGGGGGTCACGGCCTGGACCTGGAGGCTTTGGGCTGGTGCTGGAGCCGCCACACTAGCTGAGTTCACTACCCATGGAAGGGTTCCAATAACCTGGGAGGAAATAAGGCAGGGACCCCAGGAGTGAGGATAGCGTCCAGCTCCACCCCAAACCCAAATCCCCACACAGCCAGGGAAAGAGACTAATGGACAAATCACTCAACCCGCTCTGGCCTGTTTCTGCATTAGCAAAATGCACGATTCACACTCTAGAGGCTACTTCCTTTATTACAGCCTCAGAGCTATGGTGGAGCAGGAATATGACTGGATATGGATTCAGAGAGACTCGCCTTGTTCTGCCACATTTTAGCTGTGTGGCTTAATTGCTCTGAACCTCAGCCTTTTGTCCTGTAAGATGGGAATAAAAATCTCCATCTAGCCAGGTGAGGGGGCTCATACCTGTAATACCACCACTTTGGGAGGCTGAGGCAGGTGGATCACGAGGTCAGGAGTTCAAGACCAACCTGGCCAAGATGATGAAACGCTGTCTCTACTAAAAATACAAAAATTAGCCAGGTCTGGTGGTGGCTACTGGGGAAGCTGAGGCAGGGAATTGCTTGAACCCAGGAGGTGGAGGTTGCAGTGAACTGAGATCACGCCATTGCGCTCCAGCCTGGGCAACAGAGTGAGACTCTGCCTAAAAAAAATAATAATCTGCATCTAATAGATTTGTACTCCAAACGAAGTGAGATGATGTATAAGAAAGCACCTAGCACAAAGCCTGACAAGATGGGTGCTCCGGCCAGGGCGCGGTGGCTCAAGCCTGTAATCTCAGCACTTTGGGAGGCCAAGGCGGGTGGATCACGAGGTCAAGAGATCGAGACCATACTGGTCAACATTGTGAAACCCCGTCTCTACTAAAAATACAAAAAATTAGCTGGGCATGGTGGCGTGTGCCTGTAATCCCAGCTACTCAGGAGGCTGAGACAGGAGAATTGCCTGAACCCAGGAGGCAGAGGTTGCTGTGAGCCGAGATCGCGCCATTGCACTCCAGCCTGGATAACAAGAGTGAAACTCCGTCTCAAAAAAAAAAAAAAAAAAAAAAAAAAAAGATGGGTGCTCCATAAATGAAACCCCCACCTAAAGTGAGTACCTCCAGGACAGGGAGGTTGCTACACCCCTGCCCGGCTTTAGCACTGGCAGAAAGCCACCACACGGGAGATAAGAACAACAGCTTGACATCTGTTCAAGTTTCTATAACCCACAGCCCACATCCTGGCTGTCTTCCCCTGGCCAGCCTCTCCACAGTCCCCACCCTCCAGCCCTGTCTTTGGCCACTTGCCTGTCCCTGAGCATTGGTGAGGATCTGACTGCTGATCCCTGGCATGCTGGGAATGGCGCTGGTAATGACTGGAGCTGTAGTGAGGGAGCCCAGGATCTGGGTCTGTCCCCCAAGTGAAGCAGCACTGATCTGTGGGTGGAGGAAGAGCCTTGCTCAGAAGCCAAGGGGTGAGAAGAGCCCTGGGCAGAGGGAAGAGGGCACTGGGGTAGGTAGATGTGAATGTGGGCTTCAGGCCCATGTCTACTGGCTGGATGGTTTCCAGGGCTAGGGGCTGCAGGGGTCAGCAGGGAAGGGCGGGGCCGCAGTCATGGAAAAATAACTCTGGTTAATCTTTCAGGCCAGGCCTGGGAGGGCAGAAGGGCCATACTGGAGAGGCTGATGTGATCCTAGTCACATCTAACAGCTCCCACTGCCAAGCCAGGAGCCATACTGGACAGACACCAGCATAGAGCTATAAGCTCTGGCTGCACCTTAGTGACAGCCCACAAGTTTTCAATCCTCAGATGTCATCCCACCCTCCAAGCCTGGTCCAGTGGTTGAGGTTCTGAAGAATGTGCCCAGCCCTCTTGGCAGAGGTTGTCTGCTTTTATCTGGGATGGACAGGCTGGCAGCTGCGAGGAGAAGGCCTCAGAGGGAGCCCATCTCTGCTGATGTGTTGGAAAAGGGCTGTTTTCAGGGGGGCTCGTCCTTCACTGTGGGAAGGGTCAGTTCCACCCTTGGCCCGTGAGTCCGTCCATCCCTGGTCAGCCCTGGGTGAGGGCAGCAGCTTACGATTCCTGGGCTAAATGCGAAGCCTGCAGGCTGGACGGTGATCTGTGTGGGGGTGTCCACTGGCTTGGGAGTAGGGGCAGCAGCAGTGGCAGCAGTGGGCTGTGGGAGGATGGCAGGTGTGGTCTGCAGCAGCGGCTGGGTCTGGAACAGCGTCTGGGGCTGGGCTGGTGGCCGGGGTTGGGCCGTCGAGGAGGCCTGTACCGGTGGGGCAGCTTGTACGGGTGCCGGCAGAGCGGTGTTCAGCACAGCAGCTGCTATGGAGCAAGGCAGAGACAGAGGTGCTCAAACACCTAGCCACTGCCCACAGCGGCTCCAATCCCAAGGGATCTGGCACAAGAAGGAGAGGGGGTGGGGGCAGTGGGCACAGTGGGGCAGGCGGCCATGATTCCCTTGATCCTTGAAGGGCTGGCACGTGCCAGCATCTCTCATTCCCCCCTCCCTGGGGCCAGGAGATGCGTAGGTTCAAGAACCAGACGTTGACTCTTCTCGAATTCCTTCCCAGGAGGCTGGTCATGGGGTGAGTTCTGGCGCAGGGGGAGAGGGGCAGTCTCAGACAGCTGGCTGAAGTAAAACAGGCCTGTGGGGCCAGCGTGGTGTCACAGCCTACAGTCCCGAGGTGGTGCAGCAGCTCTGTGGCCAGGTGCCTAAGACACCGGATCCGGACTCCAGGGCGGTTGCCCCGGGTGGGCCGCAGGTTCTGAGTCCAACATGGCAAGCACGCGTGCAGGGGTGCAGTGGAGGGTGGTGGGGGGCCTGGTGCAGTCCTGGGAAGAGTTGCCGTTACCTTGGAGACCGGCTAAAGGTGGCTTGAAAATTCCCCCCGTAGGAGAAGCAGCGGTCAGTCCTGGGAGGGCAGCCACGGTTGCTGTAGGAATTGTCCACACGGCCAGCCCCTGCTGACCAGCCACTTGACCTGCAATACTGATGGGGATAAGAAGAGGTTGAGTAACTGCCCCTGCTGGAACCATAACTCCTGTCAGAACTGTGGCTAAGTTTTCCTGAGTCAAGACCTGCAAAAGCAAACAAGATTTCAAAAAGAAAAGAAAAAAATAAAAAAATCAACATTGACAGCGCGAACACTGGGTCTCTGAGACCCAGCTGAGCACAAACAAAGCATTCTGAGGGCGATGGGGCAAAGGCCACATGAGGACGGGGAAGAGCCAAACCCTAGCTGGAGGCCCAAACGTTTGAGGGGGTGCCTGGTCCGACTGTCCTGCCTCCAGAGAAGTCGCTCAAATCCAGGGCAAGGCGGCCCTGTTCATAGGAAGGGAAGGGGGCACAGGTCTCCCACATCAGAGTCTGCTGCCTGCCAGGCCTTCCTCGGGCCCTTGCTGACAGGCCAGGGAGCAGAGGCTGATGCAACCAGTGGTCAAGGGCCCACAGAGGCCTCCGAGAAGTTTCTGATGGACCAGGCCCTTGGCTGGATGCCTTGGAGTCAGGGCATGCAGGGAAAGGCACAGAGAACGCTGTCTGCCTGCAAGATCCTGAGGGCAGCCTCTCACGGTGCTGGGGCCACTGCCTGGCTCTAAATGAGGACTCTGAACAATCCATTAACTCTTTCTAGGCACCCACTGGAGGGCCGGCAAGGGTATTCATTCAGTCATTCAATAAACAAAAACTCTGGCTGCATGAAAGAGTTAATGTTATTTCTACAATCCTGGCTGGACCCAAGGAGATGATCCGGCAAATGCAGATCCCCTTTTCCAAATGCGCCTGATCTAGGCAGGGGTGAGGCTGGAGGTGCCTAGTAGGAGAGTCCCTCCCTCGAGCCACAGCCCCTTCCCCGTCCTGCCCAGTGAAGTTCCCAGATCCCATGGCTTCCCCATGCTGGCTGTCCCATGCCCCACTCCTGCCCTCGACCCTCTGTCCAGCTCCGGGGGCAGCCCTTACCTGGGGGGCAGCTTGTACAGCCAGTGGTGTCAGGGTCTGCGATGCCTGAGGCTGGCTTGGGGCTTGGCTGAAGGTGGCAATGGCAGGGGCAGGGCTCGGAGGGATCCCCGGGGGTGACTTCACTTCACAAGGCATTGAGAGAAAGAAGGACAAGGATTGAACCTGACGTGAGTGGAAGGGTCACCGCAGCAGTACATGACATCCCATCTGCAGCCTGAAGCAGTGACCCTCCGTCCCATGCTGCATTGCTACAGAGCCCCAGATCGATCAGTTGGCCTTCCCTGGCCCATGAGACAGCTTCCTGAATGCTACAGTAGTGAGGCTAGGAGGCTGGGGAGCCCTGTGCCAGCTCTGGAAGGTTAACCACCCCTTTCCACATCTAGCTGAAGGAGATATGTGGGTGAGTGTTAGCCCTCATTTCCTGGCCCTGTAAGAACTGTCACATTGTCAACAGAGGGGCCTGAAGCACACAGATGTCAGGGAGGGCTGGAGCTAGAATTGATGGGAGCAGCTGTCTTTGGTTCATCCAGCCACTGAATCACTGTTTGCCCTACCTCCAGGCTACTTTTTGATGCAGCTGCTGGCTTGGGGAAGGTGCAGGAGTTCCTGAAGGGCAAAGTCCTGCAAGCAACAGTCCCTGAAAATTGGTCAGGTCTGTGCTGCACTACAGGATCACAGGGGTTTTCCAGGACAGCCAACTTTTCTCTGCTATTTCCTGAGATCTAAAGTCAAGTGAGCAGCTTCGATGAGCTTCTAAAGGAACTCCCTGTGACCTGCAGCTTTTTGCCTGTTCTTGGTACCTTGGCCTATGCAGGTACTGGGGTACCCCCACCAGGAAACTTCTTCACAGCCACACAACAATGAGGAGAAGGGTTATTATTTAATATATGGTGAGTTAAAAGGAGCCTAGGAGTTGAGTGATGGATATTGGACCAGACAGTGGCTTCTTTTTAAAATTTTTTTTTTTTTTTTTTGAGATGGAGTTTCGCTCTTATTACCCAGGCTGGAATGCAATGGGGCAATCTTGGCTCACTGCAAACTCCGCCCCCAGGGATCAAGGGATTCTCCTGCTTCAGCCTCTCAAGTAGTTGAGGTTACAGGTGCATACCACCATGCCTGGCTAATTTTTTTCTTGTATTTTTAGTAGAGATGGGGTTTCACAGTGTCGGCCAGGCTAGTCTCAAACTCCTGACCTTAAGTAATCTCCCCACCTCAGCCTCCCAAAGTGCTGGGATTACAGGCATGAGCCACCATGCCTGGCCAGATTAGTGGCTTCTTAACACTGCTAGGCATATATTTCTAGGCTTTAATCTGGGTTTACTGAATCAGAATGTCCAGGAGTGGAGGCTAGTTACCTCGCCTCTCTTTTTTCCTTTAAAGCTTCCCCTGCGATATGGCCAAGAGAGGGAACCACTAAATCACATAACTGCAAGGGTCTGTCCAACCCTGCAGTCCTGGCCCATGTTTCAATTTGGGAAGGTGGCCACCTAACTCAGGACTATACTGTTCACAGCATATAACAATAAAACCCAGGTAGTTTAAGGAATTAAAGAGACACCAACAAAGGCCTTATAAAATAGTAAAAGAAAACAAAATAACAGGTTTATCTCCTCTGTGGAGGGAAGATACATTTCTAACTACTGAAAAAAAACATCAGGCTGGGTGCAGTAGTTCATGCCTGTCATCCCAGCATTTTGGGAGGCTGAGGAGTTGCCAGACCAGCCTGAGCAACAGAACAAGAATGCTATCTCTACGAAAAAAATAAAAATGAATTAAAAAAATAAAACAAAAAAATCAGCAAACATAAAGAGAGCCTGAACATATGAAAAATCTTAAAACATTTTGTTGGACAAAATGCAAGAAAAGATATCAAATGAGAAAATGGGAAAGTGACAAACATAAATGATGAAAGATTACCCTCTAAAGAAGCAAAATATTCGTTTTATTAGGGCATATTTAGCAGGACCACGGAGTCCAAGGTTTTATATACATTAGGGCTTCTACTGCTTCCTGCTAGACTGTACAGAAAGACTAAAGGAACTCACAGAACCATCACCAATGTACCTGCTTCTCCACAGCACCACTCAATAGTTTTATTTGGTTTTGTTTTTTTGAGACAGGGTCTCACTCTGTCATCCAGGCTGGATGGAGTGTAGTGGTGCGATCTCAGCTTCCCAGGCTCAAGTGATCCTCCCACCTCAACCTCCCGAGTAGCTGTAACTATAGGCATGTGCCACCACTCCTGGCTAATTTTTTATCTTTTTGTAGAGTGGGGGTTTTGCCATGTTCCCCAGGCTGGTCTGGAACTCCTGAGCTCAAGCAGTCTGCCTGCCTCAGCTTCCCAAAGTGCTGGGACTATAGGCATGAGCCACCATGCCCACCCACCAATATAGGTTTTATCACCACTTATTTATTTCCTGGCCTAACAGGGATGTCACACTTTAAAGTCAATTACTTTTTTTTCTCATTGATAGCAAGATTTTTTATTTTTCCATGAAATGACTTCCTCCTATGTTAATAATTAATTTCCCTTCAAAGGGAGTTTTATTTATTTTATTGTTATTATTTTTTGAGATGGTGTCTTGCTCTGTTGCCCAGGCTGCAGAGCAATGGTGCAATCTCAGCTCACTGCAACCTCTGCCTCCTGCTGGGTTAAAGCGGTTCTCCTGCTTTAGCCTCCAGAGCAGCTGGGACTACAGGAGTACACCACCACACCTGGCTAATTTTTATACTTTTAGCAGAGATGGGGTTTTACCATGTTGGCCAGGCTGGTTTCAAACTCCTGACCTCAGATCTGCCCGTCTAGGCCTCCCAAAGTGCTGGGATTACAGGTGTGAGCCACTGTGACTAGCCTCAAAGCAAATCTTAGTAGACTATATCACACACAAAATTTTTTAAATGACCAATACAAAAACATTCAAAGCAGCACTGTTTATGAAAATAAAAACCCAGACAATTTGACAATGGCCAAAACCAGAAGCAGGTGTGTGACTCTATGTCAATAAAAGACACACATACATGAAATTATGTGGTGGTGTCATACTACTTAGTCTACCTTTAGTGGCCACACCAATAAAAACATAGTACGCGTGACAAAGACTGGATAGTAATTTAGAGTGACACAAACCAATAGATTCTGTTTTCATCCTGAAAAAGTTTCCTGTTACTTAGTTTTGTCTTGTTTTATTTTTTATTTTATTTATTTATTTTTGAGATGGAGTCCTGCTCTGTCACCCAGGCTGTAGTAAAGCGGCATGATCTCAGCTCACTGCCACCTCTGCCTCCTGGGTTCAAGTGATTCTCCTGTCTTAGCCTCCCAAGTAGCTGGGACTGCAGGCATGTGCCACCAAACCTGGCTAATTTTTTTGTATTTTTAGGAGAGTCAGGGTTTCACTGTGTTAACCAGGATGGTCTCAATCTCCTGACCTCGTGATTCGCCCACCTCAGCCTCCCAAAGTGCTGGGATTACAGGCATGAGCTACCTCGCCCGGCCTGTTTTGTTTTAATAACAGGAAACCCTTCCTCTTCTTCTGTTGTTTTTCTTTTTTAATTTTTTTCTCACTCTGTCACCCAGGCTGGAGAGCAATGGTGTGGTCTAGGCTCACTGCAACCTCTACCTCCCAGGTTCAAGCCACTCTCCCGCCTCAGCCTCCCAAGTAGGTGTGACTACAGATGGGTGCCACCACACCCGGCTAATTTTTGTATTTTTAGTTGAGACGGGGTTTCACTATGTTGGACAGGCTGGTCTCAAACTCCTGACCTCATGATCCACCTGCCTTGGCCTCCCAAAGTGCGGGGATTACGAGCGTGAGCCACTGCACCAAGCGGGAGACCCTTCTTCACACTGCACACCTAGAAAGTTTCCATCACTCTAAGCTGGCAAGCTTAGGTGGTGCCATCAAAATACCTCCCTTAGCTGCTTGATGACACTAAAATTCCTTTACAGAGGAGGAGCCTTTTGTGAAAGGCTTAGACACACAAACCCCTGGAAGAAGACACACACTACACAAACACTCATGAAAATTATTGATTTAGGATCCATTTCGGAGAGCGGATTTGGATAAGGAGCAGAATTCAGGCACCAGAGGAAATGAGCTATGAAGATGGATAAATGGGTGAAAGGGAAGTGAGGGCACAGTGAATACACTTGAGAAACCTCCCCTGTTTTCTGAAAAGGGGTTCCACTCCACAATGACTATGCTGAATGGAAGGACTGGCAGACGCAGGGTCCTTGTCTTCCCTGCCTGTTCTCCAGGGCACTGCCCCTTGGGAACAGGTGATGACCCATCCTGGCCTCAACATGGAAGCAGAGCATTTCCAGGCTGGGGAAAAATGGTCATGTCTCCTGTCATTCCTTTATCCAAAAAGAAAAGAAAATGACTAGGGTTACTAGGGTTCCAAGGAATTCACATACTGATGTGAAGGTAGAGCAAGTAATGTGTGTTCATGCGGTTTTCTTGCTAAGGAGCTGTTGCTCTCTGAGGTTTGCCTGTTCTCACTTGCTTTCTTCTTGACCCACCCCCACCAGTCCAGATCTCCAGTCAAGGGATGATTTAGGGTGTTCTGGGGAAACTGAAAAAGGAGGCCCAAGGCTTCCTGCAAAAGGAGATGACTACTCTGCAAGTGTTAATGAGGAAGGCTGATGAGAGGGTGCCCCAAGGCCAGGGAGCAGTGCCTGATCCCTCACAGCTCAGCCTCTTCCACAGCCCAGGCTGTCTCACTGAATACTGCAAGAGAATCACGCTCACACCTTAAGGTCATCTTTGGAGAGGGATATCACCTATAAATCGATGGGGTTCTACAAAATCCTACCTAATCTGTATCTTTAATCTGAGGCACGTAAGATGCCCTCCCATCCTCCTCCACTCCTGGGACTTCCCAGCTCTGCTACAAAAAAGACTGAGTTGGAAAGGCTGGCAGGATCCTGAAGGTCCAGTCCTCTCTGCACTGGGCCTCAGAATGCGGTTTAGATCTAGGGCCCCCTGAGGTTGATTCAATCCCCTGAGCTGAGTGCTGCCAGTCTCCTCCCACCTCACCCTGATCCATCCCAGTTGAGGCCTGGAAGTGACTCAAACGAGATCGAAAGCTCCAGAAACAGTGTAGAGGAGCCCTGACAGCTGACCACAGGCACAGACTGTGGCCAGAGGCTGTCCAGTGGGCAGGCAGACAAGACCCTAAAACCACCTGGGCCCCAGGGACTCATGCTGGCTCCCCAGGGACTCATGCTGGCTCCCCAGGGACCATGGGACTCAGGACTCAGGTGGAGCAGTACCAGGTGGGGGCGACGGCCTCGTACCAGTTGCCTCTACAGAGGAGCCCAGGTTGTCTGGCCCAGCTTCACCAGCAGCTTGACCGGCTTCAGCAGGGTCTCCACTCTGGGAGCCCTCAGCAGCCACGCCCTCCAGTCCTTTGCTCTCTTCCTCAGCAGGGAGCTGGGCATCTACTCCAACTTCCAGCACTCGGATGGTCTCATGACCTGACATCACGATGACCTGCAAGCAGAGGATGGAGACACTGCTGGGGGATGGGCTGGTAGAGCCACAGGATCCAAAGCTCTGGGTGTGGCTGGGGGAGAGAAGGGAGGGCACTTCGGGATGTAGACCTTCTGTCCAGAGGGCTGTGTGCTCTGTGAGAATTCCAGGGAAGGAGCTGCTGAAGGAAAGCAGGCCCTGGTGACAGGGAGAAGCTAGAAAATGGCCCGCCCCCAGAGCCAGACCATTTGGGAGCTAATTTCTCTTTGTTCCATCTCTTGGACTCAGTGCAGGGAGTGGTGGATGGCCTATCCTACAACTTGGAAGGATGCCCTCTGGGCAGCTAGGATATTGGCACGTGGCTCTGAGGGCTCCTAACATGGTACCCACAGCTTAAGATGGGCCAGGAAGCAAATCCTTCTTCACTTCCCTTGAAACTATCTGAAAGTTCCCAAAAGATAAAGGGATGGAAAATGAATGCTTTACAATGCTGAGTAACTTTTATGGCCCATGATTCCTTTATTTCCAGAACTCTGGAGTAAAGCCTCAATTTCCCTGCAAGCTGAATTCCTGAAACAAAGGTCAAGAATCCATAAGAGGCAGGCTGTCCTTCTCTGCCTGGCGCCGTTCCTGGACTGCAGCTTTTTATCCTGTGGGCCTGTGGCTCCTGTCCTGCCACCTGCTGTGGGCATGCTCAGACCTCAAGGGCAATCTCCATGCATGAGCAATGCCGGCGAACCTTGAGCCTCCTCAGAACACTCGGTCTCCCTCCCATGCTCAGACGCCCCACACTGGCTCTTCATCAGCAGCACAGTAGCCCTGCCAACTGCGCCATTCAAGAATCAGAGACAAAGTCTGTAAATTAAACAACTTTGTGTCAGGCCTCTCTGCAACTGGCCTGTTCCTGAAATCACTCTCACAACGCGCTCTTGAAGCCTGAAAGTGGATCCAGCCAAACTGGGCTGGAAAAACTGATAATGTGACCCATCAGGAGAATATCAGATGAGTGAATACATCCCAAAAGAAGCTCTTGTGCTGCCTCCAGCTTGCCCTATGAGGGACTTCACTCCAATTTCAGAAAAGTTCATCCTTTTTTTTTTTTTTTGAGACAGAGTCTTGCTCTGTCACCCAGGCTGGAGTGTGGTGGCACGATCTCGGTTCACTGCAACCTCCACCTCCTGGGTTCAAGTGATTCTCCTGCCTCAGCCTCCCGAGTAGCTGGGATGACAGGCATGAACCACTATACCTGGCTAACTTTGTATTTTCAGTAGAGACGGACTTTCTCCATGTTGGCCCAGCTGGTCTTGAATTCCTGACCTCAGGTGACCCACCACCTTGGCCCCCCAAAGTGTTGTGATTATAGGCGTGAGCCACCATGCCCGGTCTTTTTTTCTCCTTTTAAAAAATGACATAGTCATTTGCAAAAAAAACAAAAAAGAAAAACTAAAGAGTAAATTACCTGATGTCAAAACTTTCCCCATGTAAACTTAAACATGTGATGTACATTTTGATTTCACATCTTTTTTTTTTTTTTTTTTTTTTTTGAGACGGAGTTTCGCTCTTGTTACCCAGGCTGGAGTGCAATGGCGCGATCTCGGCTCACCGCAACCTCCGCCTCCTGAGTTCAGGCAATTCTCCTGCCTCAGCCTCCTGAGTAGCTGGGATTATAGGCACGCGCCACCATGCCCAGCTAATTTTTTGTAATTTTAGTAGAGATGGGGTTTCACCGTGTTGACCAGGATGGTCTCGATCTCTTGACCTCGTGATCCACCCGCCTCGGCCTCCCAAAGTGCTGGGATTACAGGCTTGAGCCACCGCGCCCGGCCTGATTTCACATCTTAAAGTCACAGCTTAACTCCCCAAACTCAGGCCCTGAGAAATCTTAAGTGGCAAGTACCTCTGGACAGGTGAAGTGGCCATGAACTCTGGTAAGAAACAGATAATGAGGGGCCCTGTGGAGTCTTCCTCCTTTGCCCACACCCCTCACTCCATCACCCTTACCCCCCACTCTTCCACCCCAGAAGATACCTGCTCATTGACAGTCAGAGATGACTCTGATCCAGCTCCAGGATCCATGGTCACTTGTCAGGGTTGGGTGGGGGCCAGCCCACACCTAGCACATCCTGGGTAAGATGGGATTGGAAAGGCAAAGGCTGATGTAAACACAGTAATACCATTTCTATACCATCTAGAAAAGTCAGAATAGAATCGTAAGAAGACAGAGAAGCTAGGTTCTCCCAAGTATCTGTAGAAGTAAAAAAAAAAAAACCCAAAAAACAGGATTCTTTTTTTTTTTTTTTTGCAGCAGTGTCTCACTCCGTCGCCCTGGCTGGAGTGCAGTGGTGCGAGCTGTGCTCACTGCAGCCTGAGCCTTCCAGGTTCAACCGATTCTCCTGCCTCAGCCTCCTGAGTAGCTGGGATTACAGCCATGGGCCACCATGCCAGGCTAATTTTTGTATTTTTAGTAGAGATAGGGTTTCACCATGTTGGCCAGGCTGGTCTTGAATTCTGACCTCAAGTGATCTACCTGCCTCGGCCTCCCTGAGTAGCAGGAATGAGCCACCGCACCGGCCAAAAAACAGAATTCTAAGAACTTTAAAGTGCTGCATTTCCTACAGCATCCTAGGAGAATCAACATTGAGAAGAACCAGGAACATCTGGGCTTAAGGTGAGGAGAGTAAAGAAAGGGCCAAGTATCTTCCCTGGGGCTCCCCCAGTCCAATGGGAGAGAGCACACCCAGTAGAACCCAACGTGAATCTGACCCTGACACTCAGAACCTTAGACTCAGGTAAGAAGCAAGACAGAAATCTGGGCAGATTTCCTGGAAGAGATGGTAAAAACATAAATTAAGCCAGGCGAGGTGGCTCATGCCTTTAATCCCAACACTTTGGGAGGACAAGGCAGGTGGGTCACAAGGTCAGGAGCTCAAGACCAGCCTGGCCAACATAGTGAAACCTTGTCTCCACTAAAAATACAAAAAATTAGCCAGGTGTGGTGGCGGGCACTTGTAATCCCAGCTACTTGGGACGCTGAGGCAGGAGAATCGCTTGAACCTGGGAGGTAGAGGTTGCAGTCAGCCGAGATCACACCACTCCACACCAGCCTGGAGACAGTACAAGACTCCATCTCAAAACAAACAAACAAATTAAGTAATTAAATTAAATTAAAATAAATTAAAGTGGTCTCCTGGAGCATTTAGTAAAAATTTTAGTATTTGTATCAAAGTACAGAGTAGGGCGAGACTCAGTCTCAAAAAACAAATAAATGTTCAAAATAGGTAGAGATGGGGAAAAAAAAGAAAAAATATATAAAATAAAGTACAGAGTAATAATTTAAAAATACAAATATAAATGCAGATCCCTAGACCTTTTCCCCTAACTACTCCAAGAGAGTCTGATTCAGTGGAGAAACATCACAGAATCACCCCTCAGGCGACTCTCTGACAGCGGCCCACAGACCACAGTGGCCTGTAAGAGAGGAGGTGAGACATCCCAAATGTGAACAGCCTGCCCTATGCAGTGAGGAGTGGGCAAAGCCCTCATGTGAGGACAGGTTGTCTGGCTGGAGCCACAAACCACAGTCATAAGAAATAAAGAAAATAGGTTGGGCACAGTGGCTTATGCCTGTAATCCTAGCACTTTGGGAGGCCGAGGCAGGAGAATTGCTTGGGTCCAGGAGTTCGAGACCAGCCTGGGCAACATAGTGAGACCCCGTCTATTATTTTAAAAATAAATATAAAAATAAAAATAAAAAATAAAAAAATTAGCTGGGCATTTGTGGTGCATGCCTATAATCTCAGCTACTCAGGAGGCTGAGGTGGGAAGATCGCTTGAAACTGGGAGGCAGAGGCTGCAGTTAGCAGTAATTGGTACACTCCAGCCTGGGTGACAGAAGCAGACCCTGTCTCAAAAAAGAGAGACAGATAGAGAGAGAGAGAAAAAAAATAAATGAGGCAAATAGGTTTAGACACTTTTATAGGAAAAAAGCAATTAACATTTATTTTGAGTGCATCTTGTATGCTAGGCATTTTATGTAACACAAATTGCTTGCTGTATTACTCATGCCAACTCTGGGGGCGTGGGGAATGGGGGACATTATTATCTGCATGCGACAGATGGGGAAACAAAGCCCAGAGGGGTGTTCTGGAGTCACCTTTCCCTTCTGCTATGGTCTGAATGTGTCCTTCCCCCCAAATTCATGTGCTGAAATTCTAATCCCCAAGGTGATAGTATTAGGAGGTAGGGTCTCTGCAAGGTAATTAGGAATGGGATTAGTGACTGTATAGACAAGGCCTGAGGCTGGGTACAGTGGCTCATGCCTGTAATCCCAGCATTTAGGGAGGCCAAGGCAGGTGAACTGCTTGAGCCCAGGAGTTCGAGGTAAGCCTGGGCAACATGGCGAAACCCCATCTCTACGAAAAGTACAAAAGTTAGCTGGGCGTGGTGGTGCGTACCTGTAGTCTCAGCTACTCAGGAGGTTGAGGCGGGAGGATCACTTGAGCCCAGGAGGTTGAAGCTGTGGTGAACTGTGATTACGCCACTGCACTTCAGCCTGTGCAACAGAGCGAGACCCTAGTGTGAGAGAGATATTTTCACCCCTTTGACTATGTGAGGACACAGCAGGAAGGCTCTGTTAATGAGGACATGGGCCATCACCAGACAACAACACCCTGAGCTTGGACTTCCCACCTTTGGTGCTATGATAAATTTCTGTTGTTTGTAAGCTACCCAGTTCATGGTATTTTGTTAAAGCAGTCCAAACAGACTAAGATAAATTCACATTCCATACAATTAACCATGTTAGCCACTTTACAGTGCACCATACAGTGGAATCTGGTACGTTCACGCCTGTGCCAGCATCACCACTGTCTAGTCCCAGAACATTTTCAGCAACCCAAAAGGAAACTCCATATCCAGGAATAGTCTTTCACCTTCCACTGCCACCACCCAAGCCCTGGCAACTACTGACGTGCTTTCTCTACGGAGTGCCCTATTCTGGCTATTTCATATAAATGGGATTAAAGAATATGTGGCTTTCTGTGTCTAGCTTCTTTTACTTAGCATGTTTCCAAGGTTCATCCACGTTGCAGCATGTGTCAGAATTTCATTCCTTTTCATGGCAGAATAATCTTTGCTTTTGAGATGAAGTCTTGTTCTGTTGCCAGGCTGGAGGGCAGTAGTGCAATCTTGGCTCACTGCAACCTCCACCTCCCAAGTTCAAGCAGTTCTCCTGCCTCAGCCTACTGAGTAGCTGGGATTACGAGCGCACGCCACCATGCTCAGCTAATTTTTGTATTTTTAGTAGAGGTGGGGTTTCACCATGTTGGCCAGAATGGTCTTGATCTCTTGACCTCATAATCCACCCGCCTTGGCCTCCCAAAGTGCTAGGATTACTGGCATGAGCCACCATGCCTGGCTGGCTGAATAACATTCTATTGTATGGATATACTACATTTTGTTTATCCGTTCATTGGTTGGTGGATATTTGGGTTGTTCTAACTTTTGGCTAGTGTGTATTACGACTATTAGGGATAATTTTTTTTTGAACACCTGTTTGCAATTCTTTGGGTATATACCTAGGAATGGAATTGCTAGATTATCCCTTGGGGTTTTAGCATCTTCATTGCTTGGCAGGATGTTCCCTGATCAACCAGGTAAGGAGAATCCTGAGGTTCCTTCCCTCCTCTTCCCTCCCTAACCCCTCTAGAGTGGGGGTCAAGGAGAGGGCAAGCAATTCCAGATACCTAACAACTGAAGAAGAAAAGAGGAACTGAGCCTTCCCCTTTCAGGTAGGACCAGGGGGTGCAGGAGGGGCAGAGGAATTTTCTGGAAGAACTGCTGAGCATTCCACCTACCTCACTGGGGCTCTAGCCTCCTTCTTGGGTGATGTCTCCCCTCAGATTTTTTTTTTTTTTTTTTGAGACAGGGTCTTGCTCTGTTGCCCAGGCTAGAATGTAGTGGCATGACCATGGTTCACTGCAGCCTCAAACTCCCAGGCCCAAGTGATCCTTCCGCCTTAACCACCAGAGTAGCTGTGACTACCTATGGACAGCTAATTTTTTTTTTTTTTTTTTTGGTAGATATGAGGTCTCACTATGTTGCCAGGGCTAGTCTTAAACTCCGATCCCCCAGATTTTGTACTTGGCAGTCTTCCATGAGTTTTTCAGAGAATTTGGCAATTTACCATCACTTGTGGCTAGGAATTGGGATGAGCTATGAAAGTTGTTAAATATAGAAGTCATTTGCAAAGAAAATAAGAGGACGAGACAAAATTGAAATGAAAGCTATGCAAGGTGAATCTGGGTGCATCACAGCTTGATACATACGTTTCATGGGGAGAAGAATTTTCCAATTCCAGAGAAGGTCACTAGGTGTAAGGCAGCAGTAGCCAATCATCGTAGAGCAGCAAGCCATCTGCTCGAGAGGAGAGTAAAGCCTGCTCATAGTCTCACTGTGGCCTCTGGCTCTTTGCTGCCAACCATGGCCACTCAAAAGAAGTGGTTGAACAGGGGCAAGTGTCCACCTTGTGACTGTGTATAGTAGGATTCAAGTAGTGCTAAGGCTTGGGTGATTTTGATATCCCTCCCACCCTTAAGATTTTATGAGCTATGAGGACCTGAGTCCTTGGTGTCTGGTCCTTTAAGCCAAGGGCAAAGTCCGTCCTGAGACAGAGCCTCTAGCCACACCTAAGCCCACTCCAACCCACCAGCCAGATTTCAGCCCACCAGAAATCCAGGCAGAGCAGAGTCCAAGACCTCCCTTGTTCAGTCCATCTCTCCCTGTCTTACCTTTAGATGGCTCCTATTACACGTGTATGTGATATCACCTCTCTGACAAGTAGACACTTAGCATTTTGACTCTGAGCTGTGCCCTGTGTGTTCCCCTTGCTTCGTATCTATGCAGACTCTCCTCTGAAACTGCTCCCATCTCCTTGTCAGGAACTTTCCAGGTTTTTTTCAAGCCTCAGCTGTGGCTGGGTTCCAGTGACTAGAAAGCCATCTTTGGTTTGCTTTTTGACCATTTCCCCAGTGACTGCATAAATAGCACATCTGGATGGACTCCTCTGAGCCCATGATGCTATGTAGTGCCCACAGCCTGAAGGCCAAGAGGGAGAGACAATCAG